TTTCGTTTTTTTTTTTTTTTTTTTTTTTTTTTTTTTTTAATGATGATCTAATTTTGAATCGTTGCTGTCAATAAATTTGCCATTATTATCGAATTACATTTTTACCATTAATGTCATGAAGAAGAATCACATTGTAGTATGAATTTAAACGATTTGTCAGACTACATCGATAGAGTACCGATCTATTCTGCTTATTTCGGTAATGAAACAATTGTCCGATTCATTTGACAATGACGGAACTTATTTTAGATATGAAGAATTATCGGTGTCAAACTTTTTTGTTAAAATGAAGAATTCTAGTAAAGGTATTACAATGAGGTCCGGTAAATACTATCAGAATTGAAATTCTGGAAGCAAAATTTACTAAATGATTGAGGAATAAAAATAAAGCAATGATATACATGTGGACATTTGACACAACTTCTGCAATGCAGTATGATGAAATGTAAACAAAAAGCATGACTATTAATTAATGGAAAAGAAAGAATTAAAAAAGAAAAAAGGAATTTAAGCTTTGACGACTAAATTTAAAAATGATGCTTTTTCAAAGGCTTGTTGTTGTGTTTGTAAATTTGGAAATTGAGAACCATAAATTTTAACAATTCAGAACTAATTGTATTTTTTCTCGACATTCTTAACACAGAAATCTTTGATGCTATTAAATTTAAATAGGCGTTAAATGCAATATTTATTCAATATTTATTTCAGCTTGTATAGCAATTGTGTACGGAAATGAGGTCAAAGGTGGAGTAAGAAATATTTGGAATAGATGACTGGAGGAAAACCTCTAGGAATTATAATTTTTAGCATTAATTATCAAAAGTTTTTTTGAACAGTCCGCAAACTTTTCAATTCTTTTGAATTCTGCACAAAATGCTTACGATCAATACCATGTGTCACCTATTTAAAATGTAAATGTCCGTAATGATTATCTTATCAATGGTAAATGGATATTGTGACGAACATAAAAGGTAATACAAAAAGAGTAGAAAAGTTAAGTAAGATTTATAAAATCTAATATAGCCTTGCTAATTCTAATCTTTGTACCATAACTCATTCTGTTTTCTTTATCACTTCATTATCTTAAAAGTGATCGTAGAAAATTTTTTAGTACAATATGTTGTAAAGATATTGTCACATTATTACTGATCAATTGATTATTGTATTTTAACGCAAAGACGATTGCATTGATCATTTTCATATCAGAGTTTACTACATTTAATGTACTCTAATTGAATTGTACTTGAAAGGAGAACTACAATAATTGAATGGATTTTTAAGAAGATAGCAGAAAATGGAAGGTAAATATTTATACGTAGCGCAAATATCACATCTGAAGTGAAAATGACTTCATCAAAAGTAAGGAGACATGTTTTATGGCCTACGTTCACGTCTCTATAATACTGAGAATAGGTTGGATGATTTGAATAAAAACTAGATCGACCGATATAGTATATCAATTTTGAAAGCGATTTAAAAAATTTCCTTTTATGAATAAATAAAAATACATATGAGAAAAAAAAAAAGAAAATCTCGTCTGGTTTATGAACGAAGTTGCTGCGAATGGACGAAATATACGGTACGAAGTGTACGGTAAGTGTACGGTTATCCTTCAATTAGTGTATTCATGTGGGATTTTCCTAATAAATGCATTAACTGAAGGATAACTGTTCAAAAATGTTTAATTAAATTTGTTTAAAAAAGAAAAAGTCTTACAGTATTAGTGGTAAAAAAAAAATGATGAGAGTTGAAAGTTTTAAAAATTAGTGGTAAAAAAAGTGATGAGAGTTGAAAGTTTTAAAAATGTTTTTTATGCCTTAGCTTTGTCAACATATTCTTGAAACTTTAAACATATGACTATTAATAGTACTAAATCATCCAAGATGTTAGAGATTAAATGGAACGGCCAAAAAAGTTTTTTTTTTCCTTTAAATTCCACTTCATTTCAATGACAAAGGTGACATTTGGTCATTATCTGAGTCATGATAAAGGAAAACAGATTTAATTTACAATACATTAATTACAAAGAAAAAAAAAAGTAGTATATGGCGATATCTTGAGATAAACTTTCGTCACTACAATAATTCTATTATCGCCAAATCTACAATCATACAATAATCTAACAATCATTTTTACAAATTAAATAAACAGAAGATGCAATTTTTCAATCTTGTATTCTTTCCAAACCTCTACAAATCCATGGAAATAAGTAGATGGAAAAATCAATATCTATTATAACTCATATCTTATCATTCTATTAATAAAATACTTGATCTAAATTGTATGATGATGGCCTACATTGTCGTATAACTTTAGCTCTATTCAAAACATTAGATAATGATTTATTTACATTTATTATCATGTGATTTTAACTCTGTTCATTCTTTTGATTTATTCAAACTTTCATACATATATCAGTTGCAATTAATTTTTAATACCTGTTCAATGTATTCAATAGCTGTTTGATGCATTTTCTGTATTCTTGTTGATAAAGAATCGATACATAATTCTTTCCAGTTCCAGTTATTTGAATTCCCAGTTTAGGATTGCAATAACATATCATTATCATTGAACAATATCCTTGTTTTATTGATTTTCTTTTTTTTTTAAAAAATTAATTGAACACTTATAGCAATATATCATTCATTTGTGGTATAGCTGAGGATTAAGTTTAATAATTTGATTAAAATCTTCCAGAAATTTCGCATCTTTTGCTTCATTTTAGTAGCACTTTTTTTTAATAACAATTAATAATAATTAAGATAAGGATACTTTTAATAGCTGTAAAAATTAAATATGCCTGCATGTAAACAACAACAAAACTTTATTTCACAAAAAACGACAAAAAAAAAATGAGAAGCTCCGGAAAAATTAACACATCCTGATCTTCATAATGATGTTTATCAAACGAGTAGACTTCTAGACATAAACAATAAAATCCTTTCTTTCATAAACAATGAAAAATACTCTCAAACGATAACAGAAAAAAAGAAAACAAGAAACTCTCCACAATAAATTTTAGTAAACAATAAACAAAACGTGAAACAATAAACAGAAAATACAATTAGAGGATATTTTTTTCACAGAAAGAAAACGATTAAAACTTTCAAACAAATAATATAATTATCTTTCATTTCTTATACTTTTTAATTTTTCATTCCATTATATTTCTCGGGAAATTCCCCACATTTACCCATTTTGTTAACCTATTTTAATTTAAAAAATTTTTTGATTTTAAGATTTTTGTTTAAATTTAGATCCATTTTCATTTAAAGTTTTTCAATTTAATTTTTTCACCCAATTTAATTTCGAAACATCTTTGCACTAACCCATTTTACGATTTAATTCTAACTTCAAAAACTCCATATCATAATATTTTCACAATTAAAACTAATGCATAATTACTTTTAACTCTCTCATATTCAATTTTCGATATCTCGCTTGATTTTTCCAGGAGCTATTTTCTTTCGTATTCTAATCGTTCTTACGATTTGGTGGGAAATTCTTCTTCCACGGCGATGTCTTCTTTGATGCTTTTGAAGTCTGTGGACGCGGAAACTGTGGCTGCGGAAACTGTAGTGGCATTCGCTGTGGCATAGACATCCGCGATGGCATCATTTGTGGCGACAAAACCTGTCTCTGTGGCTGAAATGCTTGCGGAGGCATTGCATGTGGTGGCATTGCTTGTGGTAGTATTGCATGTGGTGGCATTGCATGTGGTGGCATTGCATGCGGTGGCATTGCATGCGGAGGCATTGCATGCGGAGGCATTGCATGCGGAGGCATTGCATGCGGAGACATTGTACGTGATGACATTGCATGCGGTGGCATTGCCTGCGACTGTAGCATCTGCGACGGCAGCATATGCTGTGGTAGCATTTGCTGTGGAGGAAACATCTGCGACTGATGCACCGGTGACAGCGGTACCTGTGGCGAAAATATCTGCTGTGGTGAAACCTGTGGCGAAATTACCTGCTGCGTTGAAGCCTGTGGCGGAAATACCTGTTGCGTTGAAACCTGTGATGGAAATACCTGCTGCGTTGATACCTGTGGCGAAAACATTCGCGGTGGTGATGCTTGTGGCGTGAATACTTGTGGCGATGCTTGTGTCGGAGTTGTCTGTGGTGATACATCCAAGAACGAGAAGTTGCTAAAGCTATACTGCAGATCGTTCATATCAGCATCGTATGTCTACAAATGCGAAAGAGTTTGGCAGCGGAAAAATTGTATGAAACAAATTCATTATAATGATATGATATATCAGCTAATAACATGCTGTGGATAATCAAATATCAACCCTGAAAAGACAAAACCACGGGGCACTTGTTTGTATTCATTGGTTATGTTTTCGTTGGTAATCAAATTTCATTTCCTATAAATATATGTAAAGTTTCAAGGCGTAATTCGTGATATTTATGAATTGAAGAGACAGAGAGAATGGTTAAAGATGATTTAAGAGATTTTCTTCTTTTATTTTTCTTATAAAAGAAAAACTTTCAAAGATTATTTCTTTTATATGTTTCTAAACTAACATAATTCTGTTCATTTCGTTTTTGAACAGTGAAAACTTACATCTTGGAATGTTTGCTGAACATTTGGCTGATCAACTTCTGAACCTCCCATCGGAGCTGGCAACATTGGCGAATCGAACAGATAATTGTTCACGAAGATCTGTTCAGTTGAGTTACCATTATTGAGAGTAAGTGTTGGAAGAGGTTTCCAGATTTCATACTCTGCAACTATCGAAAGAATCAGGAAAATATCCTTAATTTTATGGATCAAGGAGGACCTTCATACACTTCTTTAGGTTGACATAAGTCAATCCATGAAAATAAATAAACAGAGCTTGGAGAGGAAAAGAAATAAACAGCGTTTGTATTGATTACTATTTAGGATACCTTTTTTTCTCTCTCTCTTACCAAAAGAAAACGAAATCATTTTGGAGTAATCAGAACAAAATTTGAATTCCTGAACGAATTCCAGGAATTCTGTCCCATTGTCTTCTTATCTTTATTTTAAAATTCTGTACCATTTCCAAATCCATTATTGTGTACTGGAGCTGTATAGCACCAGTTGAGTTCCGGATTGTCGAATTCGTCGTATACTGGAAATCCAACATTTCCATCGTGCTGTAAAAAGCGTATGTAAGGAAGAAACTTTCCAATAAATTAGGAAAATGTAACCTTAACTTGCAATTTTCTAAATGTCTTAACATTCAGAGAAACGGGAAGGGTATTACTATACCGTACTGAACTTTTCATTTAAATTTGGTAATATCCTTTGCAGTTTTTTTTTTTTTTAGAATATATATTATTGAATTCTTGAAATAGCTTATACTGCGTTAGCGTCATCTTCGGGAACAACACAATTGAATGGAATGAAGTAGTGTGGTGAATCATTTGTTGGTGTTGGTGGAAGATTGGCAGTAAACTGATTGGAGGAATTGCAGTTTCGATTTGGAACTATATTTGGTGACTGATTAGCAGCAGTACCGAAAATTTGATTGGATTGATTGGGATTGATATATGTTACTGAAGATGGATTTCTGAAGTCTGCTCCAGAAAGCTGAAGAAAAAAAAATTTCCAAATTTGAAAATAAAGCACAATAATGAGCGCATCTGTTCTTCAGATCTTTTTCATCCTTTCATCATTTTGTCAGAACAAAAGTCTAATAAGAACGGTAAGATACAAGTGGGTTCCAGCACTGAAACATACCGTTGGGTTACTGTTGTTAATTACGTCTGGAAAATTTTGTGGCGGGAAGGGCATTACCACACCGTACTGATGACCCATAATATGTGTATTAACTGAAAATATCAAAGTTTCTTTTTGAGAAAAGTTAACTTTTGCAGACGGGGCATCGGATTACGGTATCACCATACGATACACATACTGGATTCAAGTTTATGAAGTAAGCAGCTTCCAGTTATAAAGCACAGTGCTTCCAGTAATGAATTATAGAGTTCCTAATTACAAATTATAGAACTTCTAATTAGGCATATAGTTAGTTTCCGGTTACAAAGATAGGAATTCCAGTCAAGTACAGAGTTTCCGATTACGAAATATAGGACTTTCAGCTGTGAAATATGGACATATTCAGTTATGAGGTGTAAGGATTCCAATTACAAAGCATATGGTTTCAGCTCTGAAATACAGGCTTCTATTTATGAATTATAAGGCATCAGGCTACGAAATATGAAGGTTTCAGGCACGAAATATATGGCTTTCAGTCATGAAGCATCTGGGTTTCCAGTTAAGAAGTATTAAAGAATAATCCAGAAATAGTCCAATTAGTTGATTTCATTTTTTTATCTTTATACTTCTCGGTTCTTTCATATCCATGCGATATGTTTAAATATCTAAAAAAAATATTTTTAAATATCCGAAAAAAAAACAACCAATATTACTATTCTTAATTACTACATCGAACTTATAATTTATAAAAATTATCACTGCATTTAATTTATTGTCATGTCTATCGTTTGTAATAGTTTCATTAAGTAAGTTAACCAAACAACAGAGATAAATCTTTGCAACCACAACACTTACCATTGCCACCTTCCGGACCCATAGCAAACTGAAAATTCACCGGAAAATTCTCTGAAATTTCAAATAAGTTTTCAAATAAGAAGCATTTTAGTGATGGAATTGAGAATAATGTGAACAATACAGAGTGCTTTAAAGAATGACAAGTAGAATTGCATAGTTTGTCAATCTGAAATATTTTACGCATACCATAACATGACATAATAAAATTAATTTTTCCAATAATTTATTAAAATAATCTACCAAGTAGCGGTACATTAGCTTGTTGAATTGCATTTGCGTTTGTTATGGCAAGATATGCAGCAGCATGCTGAATGCGACGCATAGCTTTATGATCCGGTCGCGGTCGATGCGAACCGAAACGCGTAGCAGCAAATGAACGCACCGTGAATTGCTTCGAATTCGCTCGTTTATAGCGAAATAAAACCGGTGGAACCTGTACGTACCACTCATGATTTTAGGATACTAAATGCAACAAAAGATTACAATTAAATCATTTACTGTAGAAATTGTACCTCGTTTATGTCGATGAAACCAGTAGCAAGCAGATCGTATGCATCAATCTCAGCAGAGCTAACCAAAGTGAGCGGAATGCAGCGTTCCGGTTTCACATCTCGTTTTTTCGCATGTCCAGCTGGACGAACTACAAATGTGAGAATTCTTACCAATAACTTTCATTTAAGCAATATTGTTTTCAAATTTTTATCTTCTATTCTTGTAAAGTTAATTCAGGCACAGTAAGCAAAATTTGCATATCTTGCAATGGCATTTTAGGTAAAACATGAATTAAATGTGAAAATTTTAAGCAGAATAATTGAAAAATTCCCATACTTTATAAGGGGTTATTTAGAAGTAATTGTAATGTTCTGCTTCACTACAATAGAAAAGGAGGAGAAATTATGATTACAAGTAAAAAAAAAAAGAATGACCAACGAATAAGCTAGAAAACAAAGAGTATAAGAGAAATAGATGTTATCAATCATCTGATAAGCTCACGCATTGATTCTTGCTTTACATAAGCATTCAAAACGGTATTTTGAATGTTGTGTGAGTTTCCATCGTAATATTTTGCAGCACCAATAGGAGTTGGAATATAAAATTTGTCCGCGTCCACATCGCCACGCCAAATAATCACAATGGATGGATAATCCGAAATGCGGCAAGTTACTTCACCAGGATTACAGTAGATGAAAATGGTTGCTAAAGTATTGTTTGCAATGTATAAATCTATCTATGATATCAATATGATAGAAATATTTTGAGATAATTCAGATGAATTGTTGAAAAGCTAAAGTTTTGACAATATACAAACTTGGAAAGCTTGCATAAAGATCATCCCCATTGATGCCAACACTTGCCGCAACGGCAATGAACATTTCATCCATACCTCCACGTGTTTTAATTGCCAAGATACGTTCAGCTTGAGCTATAATTAGGTATATTTATAGCTTAGGGATAAAAAAATCATTTTAGATGTTTCTAGATGAATTCTTTCTATTACATTAATCTGTAATTGAAAACTAAAAAAAAAAAAAGAAAACTTAAACGATTGTTTATTTTATACAAACATCATTTACTGTGAGCTTATGCCACGTTTAAATTATTCGAATTGTTCATCGCTGATTAAAATCTCAATGAATGATATTGAAATGATTCTTTATCATTTTAATAATCATCCTAATAGTAGCATTATTTTATGATGCATTATGGTGTTTTGTTAATGTATTCATTACCATGTTTTGGTTCATCAGGGCGCCAATTATCATGAAATCTTGTTGCTAAATGATTCGCAAAACTTTCCATGCACAAACTGATCTGAAATTGAAAAAAAAAAGAATACTCACTATTATTTGCTAATATTCCAGAATATTCTTTTCTCTTTTGAGATGTGAAAAAACAAAAAAAAAGAAAAAAATCCTTGTAAGATTGTGGATACTGTAAATTTCACAATCTATGAAAGTATATTTATTTACCCGACGTCTTGCAATACGATGGTGCATGAAAACAGCCAAAAAGTTGATCAATTCTTTGATTTCTGTATACATATTGCTAGCGAATTACTGAAATTGTAGGAAGAACTGGAGAAGATTTATAGGAAGTACTTCTAATAATTCTAATATCGTATAATTCTCCAACTATCCTCATTCAATCCCCGCTAACTCAACAACACAACCAGACGCAACCAACCGACTACGAGAAATGAAAAAGCAATCAATGATAATCAATCGATAACGCTGCCGGGAAAAAGTTGCTTCGGGACATTTACAAAATTTGCATATCATCCTCTACAAGCTAAATACGTACACTTCTAAGAAATCCGCCAGTTTCGGATTATCCGTAATCCTTAGTTATCTAAAAAAAGCTACTGAAAGTTTCTCTGCAAACAGTAACTTAAGACAGTTTCCAGTTACGTAGAGGACGTTCACGTGAGAGTTACCTAAAAAAGCAACCAAAAGTTTCGCTGCAAAAAGTGGCCTAAAAACTGAGCTGTTAGAGACAGGTAACTTTTTAGGTAACCATTTTACGGTTACCTAAAAAAGTAATCGAAAGTATGCTCTAAACAACCGTTTGAAGTAAGTTCACGTCAAATGATTATCTAAGGAAGTAACTCGAAGTTTGCCTGCAAAAAGTGGCCGAAAAAGAGAGTTACTTGAAGTAAGTCATGCGAAAAGGTCACCTAAAAAAGCAACCGAAAGATTGCTCTAAAAATTCGGTTGAAGCAAGTTCATGTGAAAAATCATTTAAAGGAAGCAATCGAAAGTTTACCTGCAAAAAGTGGCCTAAAAACTGAGCTGCTAGAGGCAGTTCACGTGAAATGGCTACCTAAAAAAGTAACCTAAAATTTGTCTACAAAAAGTGGCTTAAAAACATAATTATTTGAAGTAACTCACGCAAAAAGGTTACCTAAAAAAGAAACCGAAAATTTGCTCTATAAATTCTCTTGCAGCAAGTTTGTGTGAAAAAGTTATCTTAAAAAAGTACCCAAAAGTTTACCCATAAAAAACGGTTTAAAACAGAGTTAACTGAAGCAAGTCACATGAAAAGATTTAAAACAGAAGTAAATCCTATTTATTTGAGTTAATTACTGCTTTTAACTCAACCATTTAATTTAAAATGCTCCCACTAAATTAGCATCAATGATAAGTCCAATGATAACCGTAACTCACATCCTACAAAAAGTAACCGTGCAGACGACAGAATATTTGAAACCGGTTGAAATGTCGCCTGAAATATCCTTTCGTTTACCTTTCTACACTTATCTAACACCACAAATTATCAAAAACGCACGGACGCACCTGACACCAATGAAACCGATCTACTATTCGCCGCTAGCTTACGCAATCAATGAGTGATAAAAAACTGTCATGCTGGCCTAAAATTACGGTATATGATACTCAGGAACGACGTGGGTGGTCCATGCGTGGGCATCCTGACAGTCCTATGGTCAGCAGAATAATTGGTTGATTCTTTGTTTATCAGTATGATGAGTATGATTTAGGATAAAGATAAATTAGGATAATTTTATGATTATAATGCTAGGAATAGCATCATGTAAGCTTTGTGATAATAGTTTGATGATTTTATCATAGTTTAGCAAGGTAAAACGGCATTCGATAAGCGGAAATTCAGTAATTAACAAAGTACAATTAATTAGTTAAAATAAGCATTAATCTACTTCAATAAAGATTTCTTCAAATCATATATATTCTTATCAAATTTTATTAAACCATCTTTTCCTGCCTGATAAAAAAAAAAAAGACGGAAACGGAATAAGGGAAGAATATCCCCCATAAATCCTCTGTTACTAATTTTATATATTTTATTGATTCAGCAAAAATCAAAAATTTTCTGGAATTATGAATCAGGAATTTTTTTTTTTCAGATAATCGATAAAATGAAGCAAATATTTGATGATAATCGTTGATCAAAGTAAAGAATCATTGTGCGTTATTCGATCGATCAATCACACAAATACGACATTCATTACAAAATTTTGTTACAAAAGGGTTCAGGTGCGCTTTTCAAAGGAAGTCAATTTTTCTTATCCTTTAATTTTTACTGTTTCAATTCTTCGTTTCAATGCTTGTAGATCTTTATTTGATTACCGTAATGTTTCCAGGTTCTATTCTAATTGTACGAAATTTAAAACATTTTTGATGTTTTACTATTTAATATGTTTGAAAATTTGTCAGACTTTTTTTTTTTCAAATTTTGAAGATATAATTTAGAATTAACAGCACCCTATTTTTAGAAAACTATATACTGCTGATATATGTTTAATTAAATCCGGAAAAATGTCGATAAAAAATTTCGTCCTGTTTGAAATATCATTTCGTTTTTCAATTCATTTCAATTGATTTCAGACTTCAATTTCAAATTTCATGTTTAAAGAAAAGTAAAAAACAATTAGTTTTGTTCCCAAGCAACTAGCATTAGTGAGTTAATCTCGAAACGTAGCCTAAGTGTATTCAAAAAAACCAATTGTTTTCTCATTGATACAGGCACTATTTATTATCGTAAATTTTAACTTTTCAAATTCCAAAATTTGATATGGTAATTGAAAGTGACAATTATCGAAATTATTTTGTAAAAAAATGTAGCATCAATTTTTTTTCTTCTTTTTTTTTAACAAATGGTTGTTTGAGTTTTGATATTTCATGGATTTCTGTAAAAAGAAATTTTGTAAATTCTCATTTTATTGCTACTCACAAATCTTTCAAATACTTTCACATATTTTATTCATGAAATAGAAACACATTAATGCAATGAAATAATTGAGTTATCTATTGATTATTTCGTATAAAAAAATCTTTTTACGAAATAATACAAAAAAAAAAATTTCCGGTACATAATTCAGAACATTTTCCAACTTTCCGGCTGTAGTTCAATCACTGATTTTTCATTACGTCAAGAGAAATACGAATCAGACACAAGGTAGTTTGTAAAATTACACAAAAGTTAGAAAAATTTTTTAGACTTTTTCTCTTTCTGCTACAAGATTTTTGAGAATACGTGGGAACTCGTTTAGTTGATGATACATTTTACCGGGACATTTCTGTAAATGTCACGAGTTATTCCGCATTCTTTACCCAAAATTTGATTTACTAAAAATGATTTGTGCATGAATTTGCATTGAAGCACTTTTTCAAAATTTGATATCCTCATGCATTTATTTAACGCGGAAAAAGCAGTACTTAAATCTATTTGCATTTTCTTTTTTTTTTNTTTTT